GCCCTCGACAGCGTGCTTGTGCCACCAGGAAAAAGGTACGTGGAAGATGTATTTTATTAGTGTTGGCGTCTAACTGACGTGTGATGAAGATGTATGTGTCCTTTTATTAAAGTCTTTCCTTTTAAGCCCTTTCCTTCCCAAAGTCTCTCAAAAACAGTAATTTAGAGCTCTTGTGGCAGCTCCATTTTGAACAGGCTGCCTGAAAGTCAGCTAGAATAATGTCGAACTATATCAATGTATGCTTTGAACCTTGGGAGTCTGGAAATACGTTTTCCTCCAAAATAGCCACATTTAGTGTACAGTGTAACACTCTGTAAACACAGGTGGTCTCTCACTTTAGTTTGCTATAAAAATAATGGTGACTGTAATTATTAGCACATATAAGGCTCCATCCTGCTGCTCTTTGTTGGGGCTGTTTGGACACTAATGAGATTTACTTAACGACCAGCTGCTGCAGGTTATTGTCAGTTTTTGCAAAGCTAGTGATTTAAGGGCACATCCCTCTTTTATAAGACTTTTAGTTTTTGTATTTTTTCTAACTTTAAATGCGTTTATTTTGTATTCTGATTTGATTTTTATTGTAAAAAAAATTTAAAATCTGGTGTCTGTTTCTGTTTGAGCTGCAGGTAAAAGTTTCTTTCACTGTTAAAATCATTTTAATATAATGAAAATCTTTGTCTCTTAATGTGAGGATGAAAGCCTTTGTTTGCTTTTGGAGACACGGGGGAGGAAAAAAGTAAAACATCAGAGATGAGAAGCTGAATCTGGGGCGTGTTTGACATAAAGCACTTTGCAAAAAACTTGAGACATCCTTCATTTCTGTTTGTTTTTTGTTTTTTTTTAATAATTTTCAGTCCAGTCCTTATACCAAACCCTTTTCACTGGATTTTTTTGTTTGTTAAGCCACTAAACACAGTCTATAACTCATTCAAGAAACCTAAGTCAAGGAATGAGGCTGTGTTGTGATGACACATAACAGACAACTTAGCAAAGAACTGATTTAAATTGTATCTTTAGCAACTTTGTTACTAACAGCCTGTCACATAAAACCACATCATTTTTTTCCATTTCTTTAGCTGAATATATGACAAATGCCAAAGATAACACAGTTTGACAGATAAAATTGTGTTTTTGCACCAACAACTTGATTCCCAAAGCGCTATTAGTCAAAAACTTGGCAGATCTCACTGATGTGCAGTGACTCTTTGTGGAGAACAAAAAAAGAAGGCATGTCTGTAAAGACAGGACAGCAGGGTAACAGTATCTGAACATCATGCACTTAAGAAATAGGAAAAAAAAATCCAGAAAAGAGCTGAGACAGGACTTAAGAGATGCATCTGGTCCTCGGTTGATCCTCTGCGATTCACTAAAGCCTCATCAAAAATGGTCTAAGTAGACGGATGGCTTTCGAGAAGCTATTTTTAAAGAAGGAAAACTGGGAGAAATGGCTGAGGTACGCCAAAGTT